ATGCTTTCCTATCATGATGATGTTCTGAAAGTCTTTGAAAGATGAAGAGTTGATTTGGAAAGTCTTTTTCCCATGGGGACAGCCCAGTGGTGGAGCTGAGGACCAGGGAGGTTGGGCCATCTCCATCCTTGCAGGGTTTCATGCCCTGACTTTGTAAGGCCCTGAGAAGCTGAATGTGATTCCATAGCTCAGCTTTCCCTTGGAATGGATTGGGACTGGAAACCCAGCTCCCCACCAAACCAACCCCAGTCCTGGAATCCTGTGATTTTCAGGGGTACAACCATTTGACTCAAGTTTGTGGTGTCAGATTATGTAATCCTGACGAATGGCAGTCTGGGAGGTAGTTGTGATTCTTGTTCGTGGTAGTGACTCCGTCAGTTGTCAAGTCAGATGCTGTATAGGTATGTGAAGGCTTGAACAGCAGCAAACTTATGCATGGTACCACATGTCTCTGGTCTTTTATCCTCCCCCATACCCAGATCATGGACTATCAAAGAACAAGAGTGTATTTACATGCTAGTGAATGATTAAATTAGTGTCTGTCAGCTGAGATTAACTGAGTGCAAAGGCTGTTGCCTAGCTTGTAGCAAATGAAGAGTGAAGTGTGTTCATTGAAACCATGGAGGAAGTTTATTTGATTGGTAAAAAAACCTATGGAGAATCTGCTTATTTCTAAGACATGGCTTAAGAAAGTATTCTTTTTTTTTAGGTTCTGCCTCTATTTGATATTTGATAAAGGCCTTTAATATTAAGCTAATGCAGAGAGCCTTAAGATCAAAATTCCTTATAAAGGAAAGTGTGCGGCATAAGGGAGGTATAGCATAACTTACTTTTTAAAAACAGTATCCTCTTTTATGAGCTGAAAAATGACTACAGAGGTGAGCAATACTAAAAATCCCTCAGTAAGCTGGTGAATAGCAGTGCAACTTCCTTGGCTTTTTTGGGGTGTGTGTTCTTCTTGCTCCTGCTTGTCAAAGCCAAGGTGGTGCCAAGAGAGCATCTTGACATTCACTGGATGGCAAACAATCGGCTTTTTTCCCTCTTCTCTGCCTTATGAAGCCAAGAGTGATGTACCATGGCAGCACCTTTCTTCTAGCGTACAGCAGGGGAAATGGATGTTTTTTTTCTTACCAGCAGCAGGCCACAGCAGTCAGTTTTACTTAACTTGCTGCAGTGAGGACTGACTGAACTCATATATTCACTGGGATTGACCCCAGAAATATAAATGTGGGAAACAATTCAATATAAAATATACCAGCTTTCTGACTCATCCTTTTATGCCATCTTCTAAAACAAAGAGCAATTTGAGATGAAGAATTTGAAAATCCTGGTGGGAGCCATGTTGAATCATAATAAATTACACATAAGCTGTACCAGGGTTACATGAATATCTACCAGGTAAGAGTAAAGGCTGTTCATCCATGGGACGATAAATTATCAAGTCACTGACTGTTGGAGCAGTCAGCACCAAAAAGAGCAGAGTAGAAGATATGCACACTGTAGTTGTGAGGTGTACATGAAAGCCATTCTGTGGAAGTGGTATGTGCAGATGAGCTTTTGCTCTGTAGCAAATAAGTACTTCTCAGATCTGTGTGGAAGAATTTTTTCAAGAAAAGCACATTGACAGTAAAATTTGGGAGGCAGATTTCTGAATGGGACTTACATTTGAGAGCTACATAAATGACATTGTTGAAAATTTAATTTTTATATCACATGTATATTATGGGGTTTTGTTTGCTACAGAGCAAAAGTTCACCTGTACAGCCTTGCTTACAGCTTCTAGCTTAGGAAGTGTATATATACTTTTTAAATGTTCACAGAATTATTTGGTGGGAAAATTGAATGCACAGCCAGCTAGACAGACTATGAGTCTGGCTTATGTCTTTCTTCACCACACTGGAAGAAAAGCCTGCAATTTTTAAACTCAGGACTTGTGTTGTTAATTAATGATCTTGTGCAGATGAGGACAAAGATTGATTTAAAGCGTCTTAGCATGTCTTAGTTTCTGTGGCTTTACAAAAATGTGTCTTACTCCCTCTTTAGAAGAACATTGCTCCAGTGTCTCTTTTAATTCAATGTTCTGCTTATAAATTAATTCATATAATTTATTCCTATAATTATCATGGTTCTCTTGCACTTTGCAAGGCTATTTGCATCCAATCGAATCAGGAGAGTGCTTTATGATTACTGACACTGGTAAGAGAATCGCATGGTTCACAGGCCATTCTTAGGTTTGTGTCTTTCATCCTGAGAATGAGATGCTACTCTGCTTAAAGTGCAGATTTACATAGGTTGATAATTGTCAGGCAGAATATGATTTTTTTGCTTTCTTAACTGCTTTAAGTGAAGAGTTAGGTAAATTGGTTCTCATATTCAGCTTTCAATGATTCTTTGCTTTCTCAAGATCATTGAGAACCCGCTGAATAGTAGTATCTACTGCTTAAAACACTTTGTGAGAATCAATCTGTAAAAATTGTGATTGATATGTAGTAAACATAAAGCTAAGTCTGACTTTCAGATTATGATAATTAGTGAACTGCTTATCTCTATAACTGAACATTTCTTTACTGAGTTTCTTACTATGCTATGAAAAAGAATTATTTAAAGCACTATCAATCTTTAAATCTTGTATTCAGAAAGTCACCACATTGAAAATGAAAAAGTAGTAGTAAAGGCAGATTGCAGTGCAAGATCTGAAAAATATTCTTCACTTTGTGAATCTTTTTAGTAAATTTTAACAGGAGAAAATGTCAAAGGCTATCATCTGGTAGGCCTCAGTAATCCCGATTCAAATTTCCGTGTTCCCCAAGCTAAACTGTTCAAGCTTTGTTGGGTGCATCTGCTACCAATTTGACACTTCATTTAGCCACATGTCCGCAGTAGTTTTACACTGCAACAATTGCTGTGTAAAATTAATCCTCTCTGATAATCATAATTTCAATAATTATATGTGTAGTTTGCAGAAGCAGAGAATGTCTATTAGAACAATATTAAAGTTCACCCCCTGCAGGGTGAACCTTCCCACTGCAGCTCAGGAAGGACATCCAGATGAAGGTCCGTATACAGAGCAGCATTGTATTTTTAGCATTCTTATAGCTGATGGAATTTTCAAATTAATGTGATTTGATTTTTTAAAGGGGTGTGTTGTGTCTTACCATGAAAAGAAACAAGCATGCTGAATGGCTACATATTGTGCCATACAGTAGGACTCTTTCAAGAGTACCAAGGGCCTAAACCATGGGATGTGCAGAATCTGACTGTCAAGCCTGCCCTTCATTCTTCCTACCCAGAGTAGAGGAAGACAGAGGAAATTTCATGTGAAATTCACCATCCAGTGTGTATTTTATTATGTGAAAGAGCGATTTCATTCTGTATTGGAAAACGTAGTTGCATTTTTTTGGTATCATCAGGACTGGTTTTCACCTGTGCTTTGATCTTCCAGTATTCTGGTAGATCCCCTGATGCTTGTCTTCTGTGACAGATGAATTCAGTAGAACTTGAACTGTGAAATAGATTTCCATCATAGATAATATATTCTGTAGAATCAACCTTGTGTTAATTTAAACTGCTTGAAAGATATGTGTGTCAAGCTATGTTTGCTAAGCTATGTAATAGACGGTAACAGAACTTGTAGCAGGTGGAGGGAATCTCATTCTAGGTTGAGGGCTACACAGGCTTTAAGAAGAAGTGATGAGGATTGAAGGACAAGTTTGTATTGATATGTACTTTTCTCCTTTTTAATGCTTTTTTCTTCAATTTAGACACTGTAAGCAGCAATGAATTCAAGAACTTTGACTTCCCTCTGGGGCCCTTTTGGTAGTAGCAATTTCTGCATTGCTAAAATGCAATATTTTGGTGGTCATATGTTACTAACAAGCACTGATACATTTAAAAAATGGTATTTTAAATTTAGACTGTAAAACTGCTCCAGTTTTAGATCATAGAATCATAGAATAGTTAGGGTTGGAAAGGACCTTAAGATCATCTAGTTCCACCCCCCCTGCCGTGGGCAGGGACACCTTACGCTAAATCATACCACCCAAGGGCTCGTCCAACCTGGCCTTGAACACTACCAGGGATGGAGCATTCACAACCTCCCTGATACCTGTATACAGAACGAATGGCTGTGTTTCATTTAATTTCCTATTCTCATGACGTACAAGAGTGTCTGTCATGTTTTACTTTGCTAATAACAATTTCTTGCTGTAAAGCAGGTTTCCGTTATATTATTTTGTTATAGTACTGGTTTAGGAATGCAGCAAAAAGTAGAAAATTTTAAAAGCAAGTCCTTTTATGAATATTTATTATTTAATGTGTTTGTTAACATCAAATTGTGTTCTCCTCTTGATTTATTAAGTGCATGTATCATGAAAAGAACACTCTTCAAAGTCTACAGGTTTTGGATTTTGTTAGTTTTTAGGTTACATAATCTTCATTTCGCAACGACAGTTCTCACAGACTAGGAACACAAAGCCTATATTGTATTAAAATTGACAGTCCTACCTTCAATGCAGTCCTGAGTCTGTGGAAGCAATGTAGGCCTTTCTGCTTTAAGGAAAGTGTAAAGAAACAGGACTTATCACTGCAAGCGCCATTAGTTGCCTAATCCATTAGATCTTTCTGCTCAATGCTTCAGAAGAAACTACTTCTGCTTTGCTGATTATGCAATATTATGTTTGGGGGATGGAGGGAGAAGGAATGAAAAGGTACCCTTGTAGAGGTGTTTACAACTTGAGTGTTTACCTGAATGTCTCTCTTGTCCTTATTCAGTCATCTATGAGTTCCTCTTATTAGGATCATTGCATCCTTCACAATGTTTCTGCTTCTGCACAAAATGGGTTACATACAGTGTTTCTTCAATAATGCCTTCATGTAGAAAATCAGGGAAATGACCTTTAAAGAACAAAGTTAAGTATTAATGTAATACTGAAGGAGTGTATTAAAGGTTGTGAGATACTTTCAAAACAAATTAATGAAACATTTCTTTCATTTCTTTATAGATTCTGGACAACCAGGAAGTCCAAGCCACAATGATCCTGCCAAGAATCCACCAGGTAAATATAAGTTCCAGAACATGTGCATCTAACATTGTTTGAGAACAAAGATACTACTGTTAATAGTTAAAAAGAGCATATTGGTCAGCAACCTATTTTGCACGCATAAGTACATATAATCAGGACAAGCTGTGATTACTTTAGTACTTTCAAGCTGGCAATGATACAATTGCGGTTTCATCAACATTTGTTTAATCTAAGGAATTCTTTTTTTCACTTCATGGTTTTTACAATTTTGTAAGTAAGAATGGGCAGAGGAGTAAGGAAACAATATCCCAAATTACTTTTATAAAAGTTTTCAAATGCTATAATTTTTATTTTATCTTGGACAAAACACAACTGACCTACCTCTAAAGTTTGAGATGTGAAGTTCTTTATTTTATACATACACTGTAAAATGCAAATATGTTCATTTATTATTTTTCATATCAGCTTAGAACAGTTTTTGAACACATTGTTAGTGGGTCATGCTAGTGACATTTGAAACTTTTGGGGAGAGATGTCAGTATAAACAGTCCTTTCAACGGTTCTCTAAAAATAAAAAGTAAAGAGGAAATAAAAAACATGCCACACTGTTTAGACCAGAGATTCTTTGTATTTCATGGAGTTGTCCTTCTAATCAATTGGGCTGTGCTAGTAAATCTTGTAAATCTTTGTTGTTTCAAGAAGTGTTGTCGGGGTAAGATAAACAAGTCTGACAGCCATACTATCACTTCTCAATGAGCAAGGCGTGACTCCTGCCATCACCATCATGCTGCATCTTCTGATTTTATTTCTCAGAAGTGGTTCTCTTGAAATAAGCTGCAACTAACTCAGTTTGCTCTTTTCCTAAATGCAAAATGAACCCCACTCTGACCATAAAGTAATTGTGTAATGCTGGACTGATACTTTCTGGATCTGTCAAAAAATTAAGGGAAACAGACTGCATTGTGACTGTACAGTTTTGTACTATGCATATGATCAAAATATCATCATACTTTGTATTGTCAAACATCATGTGTGTTACATGTGAATACACGAAAGTGGGAGAACCATCTTAGATCATTATACAAAAAGTTGTATTTCTGTAATATAAAAACCAGAAACATATAATGGAAGATGCAGATATGTTTTTGGAAGATGCAGATATGTTTTTGGCTATAGGCTTCCACGCTCTTTCCAAACTGTGTGGGATGAGTAAGCTTTTATTTCTCTATTAAATTTGTGACATATATTGTTTAGGATAGAGGTTTAAAAATGCACAATGGTAAATTTACACCTAAGCAAAGCCTGCAAAATTTCCTCACAGATAATCACAGTTTTGTAAAATTTGGAGCATTTAGCTATAGAGCATTTATTTTTGTTTTAGAATATCTCTATTTGTGAGTGCGAGGAAAGCCAAATACATTACCCCTTATCATTTCGAAAGATCCTTTGTAGTCTCTGGGTTTGGGAAGCTGAAGGCATGTTTTAAAATTCTGTTTCTAAAATACCAATTAGCATTTGGAGGATGAAGGTGGAAGTACATATTCACTGCTGAGGATTACATCCTGTAATGAGCCCAGTCTTAACCCCAAGCTACTCGACTGAGGTCCAGTATTACTGCCAGAAACAGAGCTTTATTTTGGCAGCCTTGTGGGGCAAGACAAGATGCCCTTATGTTTAACAAACTCCAGTGTCCCAGAAGATAGAGGGATATAAAGGGCAGATAAATCCAGTTGCTGATTTCATTCTGAAGCGTTCTACTTGAAATTTGAGCATAATGCTTTCTCATGCTTTGGAGTTTCTTCTGGTAGTAGTACTCCTTTATCTGCTGCCAAGTGGGGACAGAAAATGGAAGCTGCGCTTTGCTTCCCTTGAAACCCTTCATTTAAGCAGAGGCATAATTGAATGTCATCTGTATATTTGAGGATACATGAACTTCTAGCATCATTTAGCTTTCCTGTGTAATACTGTCTTGGGGTTAGACTGGCAGGGAGAACGTGTTGAGGTTTGTGGAACTGCAGAATACAGGACTTCTAGGCTGTGCAGGAGAACGAGAGGGAGTTGTGCTCCATTCAGCTTGTCTGGGGAAAGGACTGCTGTCCTATTCTTTCTTATTAAACTTCACATGAGTCTTATTAGAACCAGGCAGTCACTTCTGTCAGAGCCTCAGAGGATACCCACTCTGAGGTTTGTTTTCAGTCCCAGTCCAGGAGCACTTTGACTGGCAGCGCCAGGAGGGTTTGTTCTATCCTATTTTGGTCTCATGCCTGTATGTCAAGGAGCCAGAGCTCTGGCAAGGGATAGGTGCTGTTAGCTTTTGTATGCCACTACCTTCTCAAAGACATTGCCAAGGAAGAGGGCTTTGGAAACTGAGTTGGCAAAATTGCTGGTGTTAAAAGTGGGTTTTTCTAGGTTTGGCTAGACTGTTGCATTCTTTAGGTGGTCTGGTAATTTGCTGTCTTAACCATGGAGAGAGGGCAATGTCACTTGCCAAACAAAAGAATATTAACAGTACTTGCTGGAATTCTTTACAATATGTTCCTAAAAATACACTGAATACTTTGATAACATAACACAGTACTAAGATGGTGCTACTTGTGGTGAAAGCGGTATGTAGTTTTTATATCAAAATCCAGGGATATCCATCTCTAAGTTTTATTTTTCAATAACTTTCATCTGGTATATTTCTAAAGAATGAAACTTGCTTTTCTGAGAGCTGGGTTGTAAAGGTCACTTCTCTGCAGGGATAGCTATGTAAATTCCAGACAGATAGATGAGCTGAGCTGAACTGAACTTACATGAGTTCGAACACTGCTGTTGTCCGCATCACTCCTTAAGTTCCTGGAATCTAAAAGTTTATGTTATGCTAGCACGGTGTTATTTATTAAAAGTTTACATGGTTTCAAAGAGAGAATGGATGTGTTTGTGGATCCATTGAGGATGACTAAACAGACAGAGGCTCACCTGCATGGTAAGTTTTAAAAGCTAAAATACTTGCAGCCTTGCACACTATCAGTCAAAAAATCCAACCAACAAACACTTCTGGCCTGCTCTGCTTTTTACTGTTCTGCTGGTCATCTGCTCGGGGCTACTGCTGAAGTCAGGCTTTTGAAGTGTGGTGGTTTCAGTGTAATGTTGCATTATTTGCTTCCTGCAAGTCCTGTAGGTCTTTTATGTAGCTAAAGAAAATGTAAAAATAAGCCTACCTGAACATGTGTGTCTTGAAATACCTACAAAGGTGCAGGAGGATATGTACTAGAATGAGTGATCTTTCAGTAAGTTCATCTGTTAGGCATAAGAAAATTATGAAGGTGAGTAGAAAAACATCTAGAACTACTAGTAAGCTAATGATACTGACAGCAGCCATAACAATTTGTTCTCCAGTGGTACAACTGTTACAAGCCAGTTCTTCTAGTAGACGATTTTCTAGGTTTTGTTCTGCTTTATTTTTTTTTCCCTTAGTTACTGCCTACTGGCCACAATTGTTTTATATTAATAAAGTTAGTTACTATCTGCCGTTGGTATGAGGTTGCAGCTTGGCAGACTTTATTTATTTATATTAACAATATAAATTAACAGCATTAACAATGCTAAACAACTATTTAACACCAGTTGTTTGGCTGGTCAAAGGAATATTTTCATATAAACTTGCAAACTCTATAACATCAGTCAGAGCTGAATGAGGATTGAAGATGTCTCTGTTTTGAGCCTTTGTGCTGACGACTATTTCCTTATTTCTATGGGGTGACACATTTTTAGACAGAGAGGTTGAGAAACTATCTCTTCACCTTTCATTCATTCTCACTGTTTTCTTTCTTTTTTCCCCCACAGTAACCTGTGATATGTTGTCAGGGAATCCATCTAGTGAGAAAATCCTTAATCTGAATGAGGCATAGGTGTGTGAATCCCCATCCCCAGCTGCACTGCTCTGGAATTGGTTTTACCCTTCTGTTTTAATCAGAAATTTTATTCTGGGAACCATTTCCAAAGAAGGCTTGAGTGAAATCACCATCTATTAATTTTTATTTTTTTTTTCCTAATTAAAGAAGGTGTTGCCAAAAAGCTTGCAACCAGCCTCACCTGTCTCTAAATATGCAAATCTTTCTTGCAGCTGTAGAGCCCCAAAGGCTTTTTTGTGCTTTCATATGGGCTAGCAGCCATAAGGAGAACATTCTTTTTGGATCAAACTCTAAGTAATGTGCAATAAATTTGCCTATATATGACTGATTTGGATAGAGGTATTTCAGTTTGCAGAATGTATAGTTTCAGAAATAATCTCTGAAGAGTAACGTGTTCTCAACCTTTGCTGTCTTTTGGAAATGCAATAAGCAAATGATTAAGTTTTGAATGACTCAGAACACAGATGGTTTCGTTATTTTACTGTATTGCCAGTTATCCTCTTGTGGATGGGGAATTAGCCCCCTAATTAATAGGAATTGAAGAGATATTTCCTGTCCTTGTCGTTGTAAGTGGCTTTTCTTCTGGAAGCAATGATGCCATACCAGCAGTTTGGGGATTCAGACAGAATTGTGTTTGAACAAACGTATATTCACATTGCCTTTTCAGCATGGGAGTGGATATTCTCAAATGCTTGCTGTTTCCCATATGCCTGCAGCCATGCCATCTCAGATAGTGATCTTCAAGTAAAACAGGGTTGGGTTTGGTCAGGGCTTGATTTTCTGTGGAGTTCTCCCTTTCCCAAATGCTCTATGAATTAGTAATGCCAGTGATTGAGAGGTGATGCTCTTCCTTGTCAGCCTCTCAGCCCTGAGCCAGGTGGGGCATTCTGAGGACAGTGTGCAGCTGCGCTATCTCAACAATCAGAAGCCTGTACAGATCATACAGCCTCTTTTTCCAAGAGGAAGAGTTTTTGGCATTGTGTACTGGTTGAAATCTGGTGTGGGTAATTGCTACTGGCTTAGCATTACCTCTGAATTTTCATTTGCATTAGCTATCCTTCCATGTGAACTTAAAGTACAAATAAATTATTCTGTGATTACTTCTGATGTCATGTTTTCTTCTGATGCCATTGTGTT